TTTCTTGATTTGACTTGCAGTTAATTATTTTTTTCAATTCTTACATTTTTTAAATAAATGTTTAGACATTGTTGTTATAGTTTTACAACTATCCGTTTCCTTATTTTTTTTACTTTTTAATTATTTAATTATTTTATTTCTATATTAAAAATTCCTTATAATATATATGTAATTGTTCATAACCAAAAACCTGATGATGGAATGTAACTAGATGCAAAACGTCGTAAGATGCTTTTAAAAACGCCTTTTATTTGGATTCAGAAAACATCAAATTAAGAAAAATTCCAAGATTTATTGGTCAAATATATATAAGATCCATCTCCAACAATTAATATCGACAAATTTAAATTAACGTGTCATATGCACTTATGACACGTGTTATATCAAGCTTTTATTTTTTTAGTAGATTTTATGCTATATGAAGTCTCTCTGGAGAAAAATTACAGACGTCATTTCTGTGTAGGTCGGCAAATAAAAAATAATGAAATCGCCATTTCGTGCCTATTACAACGCTCTTAAGCTCGGGTATGAATTTTAGCACAAAATACCTTGATAAAGTTTAATTATCCTTACCTTAATACTGTTTGGTTTCTGCTAATAAATATTAAATGCTTCATGTAGTACGTACATAAAGTTAATAATTTCAGAATGCGTAATTAATGACGAGCTTATAATCAATTTTCTTACTAAACTGATTTTCTGCGTTATTGATAGAAGATGGATACATATCTATTTATTACTAGCTGTACCTGCAACTTTGTCATCTTGTTATATCTAGATAAGATAGAGATATTTTTTCAATAAAAGTAATTTAAGTTATGTACATATACATCAACTAATTGCAAAAAGTCTCGTCAAGGTTAGTTAGGGGTTTCGAAGATTACTCCAAATTTTAAAGGTTACTCAAAATTTTAAAAAGTGTTGATTTGGTATCCCTATTTATAGGCATATACATTAATGTGCATGTATGAATGTTTTTTTGGATATTATCAAATCGGCATTTTTCTTGGATTTTCTGATTCCCGAAATTTTATGCCACAATTGTGTATGGTCACTTCAATTCAAGAATACCTAATTTAAAAAATCTTTAAACTTTTCTATAATGTTAAAAGCGAGTCAGAAAATGAGGCGAGTTTCTATAGAGAATCAGTCCCACCTTGGTATTTAAATTTTCTTAACGGATAAATTTATTTTGACCATAAAAGCCGATTTCTAATTTTAGGTTTTTTCGACGTTTGAAGTTATTCTGAATCGCTTGATATCAAAATTGTAAAAATTATATCTCTGTGTCTATACTCAATAAGGACTGGCGTTGGTTAATTTGTAAGATGATCAGCCGTGCCGTTTTTTAGAATTAGCAGAAGAGCAAAAGTTTTCGTCCACGTTTTCGCCAGAAACCTGAATTTTTGATAATATGATAACCATTTGGAGGCATGAGTTGATAAACTTGGTAAACTTAGTTTTTGTAAAGATCAGCTATAATTAAGAAAAAAAAAATATTGCAAAACATTTTTTTAACGATTTTGATGGAACTTCGTATGATGATAGAGTTAACTGTTTTAAGGAGCACCTTAAAATATTATAGGCCTACGAACAGTGGTTTAATTTAATTATGAAAAAAATATTATATATGGAGTAATAGCCCAAGTAGAAATGAATCGTGGCGCAATATAGTTTATCAATATTGCTATAATATGTTCCTGTTAACATTTTTCCATATAAAACCAATATTGAAACCAATATAGGCGCCATATATTTCAAATATTAGTAAACAATACTAATTTCCCATTCAAAACCAATATAAGATCAATATAAATAAACAATATTTATCCGAAATTAAAACCAATGTGAGCTCAATATATGAACAATATTCACCCAAAATTCATAAATATTATTTAACCCATCCACATTCTACAATATTATTTTTGGACGAGACAAAATTTCAAAATTCTATCGTTACAATTTTAAAACTTTTACAATATAAATTCCTAAGTCAATTATATACGCTGCAAAATGTTTCACGACTCGCCTTAAGAAAAAATGCCACAATTCACTTAGTTTACTTTTTTACCTTTGTTTTTAATCACTATTGTCAGCAAAACTTTCCACAAGTTTGTATTAATAATTACAATGAATCCACGTAGCCTAAATAAATATATTAGCGTAACCTAGATTATAAGCGACCACTGCATTTTTCATCATACAAAATCTCTGAAATATTCCAGACATTTAATTAGAATCAACCCACGCATATACCCGGTAATGGAATGCCTGGTAGTACATGACAAAGAAAATCGTTATTAAAAACGCTTTACGAAATGCCAATAACAATCTTCACTTGAAACCATACATGTGTCCTTCAGAGCACATTTATTTCAAAATAAATTTTCCGGGAGGAAATGGCGCAAATAGGTTATAAAAATATGGCTTTATATTTTCTATATATTTGTTTTTTATTTTATACTGCAAGAGCCACTGGGGAGATGTTGATTTAACCATATTATAATTGCAAGATAATATTAGGAACTATGAAACTGGTATGGTCAAAAACTTATATTAAATATTTTGAATGATGATATATTATTATTACACAAAATTTTCACAAGCCAAGCTCATTACAACTATTTATTCAAATGTGCAGACAAAACTTTCAAGTTCTGAGATAACCATTTACATTTAAAGAAAAAAATCAAATTTATAATTGCCCATTGCTAATGTCTGAATGATATTGGCTATTTTTTTATTTTTTTTATTTTTTTTATTTTTATTGGCTAAAATCTGATGATATCGGTGGAAATAGTGGTTGTAGTAGACGTAAAAAATACGCACCTTATTCTATTTTGAAATTATTAAAGAAAAAAATTGACTAATGTATTCCATTTTGAAGTTTTCTACTATTTAAAAAATTAAATTCATAATTGCCCAATGCCCTTGTCTGAATGAATTGCTATTAGCTAAAATCTGATGATATTGGTGAGAAGTAGATGATTGGTGGAAGTAGTCGTTGCAGTAGACGTAAAAAATGCGCACCATATTCTCTTTTAAATTTATTAAAGAAAAAATTGACTAATGTATTCAATTTTGAACTTTTCTATTGTTTAAAAAAATAAATTTATAATTGCCCAATGCCCTTGTCTTAATGATGTTGGCTATTATGGCTATTAACTAAAATCTAATGATATTGGTGGAAGTAGTGGTTGTAGTAGAAGTAAAAACTACGCATCTTATTCTCTTTTAAATTTATTAAAAAAAATTGACTAATGTATTCATTTTAGAAGTTTCCTACTATTTAACTAACTAAATTTATAATTGTCCAATGCCCTTGCCTGAATGATATTAGCTATTAGCTAAAATCTAATGATATTGGTGGAAGTAGTGGTTGAAGTAGTCAAAATACGCACCTTCTTCTCCTTTAAATTTAATAAAAGAATTAATTTGACCACAGAATTCAATTTTTGAAGTTTTCTACTATATATGATCTTTACTCAAAGAAGCAGTTATAAACATTCTACTACGATTGTAATATCAAAGAATAACTATTATTTTAACAATTACACAAGTTGGAAATAAATCGATCCCGAATCGATTATTCTGGCAGTATTCAAAGTATTTAAATTATATTTCGAATATTACAATCTTGGCATCAAGGCAAGTTGCATGAGCTGTTCAGGATTTATGGCGAGCCCTTCTCGAGTTTCATCAAATAGCTTTTAAATGTTTAAAATTGGTGCAACGAGTTTTGAGAAAACAATATAAAAATTTAAGAGAAAAAGGTTATATTATGCTACATATACATACACACATACATTCTCCATAAAGAACGAATGACACAAATTAAGATGAAAGTATAATTCAGATAGAACCATAGCATTCTAGATCCTCCCCATAAGAAAGCCTCATGACGGTTTTCGTGGATACCATAGACAAGATATAAGCGAAGGTTTTAATCGGTATTATTCCAGACGGTATTGAGCCCGACATACCCAGATAAAAGT